AAAGAAAAAAAAAAAAAAAAAAAAAAAAAAGTAGATATAACTGCTGACAGAGACACTGTGGAGAGAGAGATTGGGGGAGCAAAGGCCCTAAATTTCCCTGCCTTTCACCCTCCAGTCTCTCCACAGTGCCTCCCATTGGTTGAAACCAGTAAAAGCCTACAGACCCTGGAGCCTGGAAAACCCAACCTGCAGGGTTCAGCTCCCCTGGAGTACAGAGCAGAACAAAAGAAGAGGGAGAAAGGGGTCTGATGGGAAATAGATCACAGATTTGTACTACAGAGGAGGGGGTGTCAATAAGTTACCATTGGCATGCCATCAACTGATCACAATGCCATATATACAGGAAAATGGCTGTTGGTTGGGCTAGTTCTCATTGTATACGTTCCTGTGTTTATTAGTATTTCCATTAAAGTCTTGGTTTTCTCAATTTAAAAAAAAATCCATATTAACTGAGAGCCTATTGTGTACCAGGTACTGTTTTGTTGTTGTTGTTGTTTTGCTTTGTTTTCATTTTTTTACAAGGGTGAGAGACAGGAAGGCCTACGAGACACGCCCACCAGGCAGCTTCCTAGAACTGTAATAAGCTGGCATATGTATTAGTAAACTGGCTTCACTCCCATCAAAGTAGAAAGTGACTTAAAGTGGGGAGTTGTAAAAAGACTTCGAAAGATAGCACAGGTCCTTCCCTATTTTTACACCGCGTGTGCACTATTGGTTGCAATTCTGAAACCAAATAATATGTGGTGTAGTACTCTTCACCAAGCATGGACCTTTACTATCTACATTTTAAACCCTTTGTTTCCCAGAATGCTGTCTCACTTTTTTAAAAAAAATTGCAAGCTATAACTGAAGAGAGACAGGAAAAGTGGCCTTTTAATTTTTTTAGACTGTCAATTCTGCTTTGGCCAGAAGAGATCATTTAGTAAGTGGATCTGTTTCAATATGTAACTTTTATTAAAAGGAAATCCCTCCACCACTAAACAAATTTTGAGCAAGTATGGAAAGAAGTATATATTCATTAATCTTCCACGGAAACACACTGTTTTAGTGTAGCCCTGGTCCTATGTCTGATTTTGTCGGCATCCCCTGCTGAAATTTCTTAAGGTGTTTTCTCTTTTGTGAACTGAAGCATGATATCTGAAATGGCTGGGCCAAAACATCTGTGGTGACTTGGATTATTTACACTTTTTCAGGTGGTAAAGGAAATAGCAGAGCCCACCAGCCTGGACAACCCATCTAAAAGCCAGGCTCCTTGAGAAACTGCCAAGTCAGCTGGGCAGAAATCCACCTCGGCTCACAGATCATGGAAAGAGGGGGAGGGTAGTAGGAATTCTAATAATAAACACCTACAAAGCAAATTATGGTCCAAACACAGGTGATAACAATTATCCAATAAACTTAATTTTTTAAATATTTAATTAAAAATACCTGTGGACATGGGGCTCCTGGATTTTGGTAGTATACACGAGCTGCACCTAAGACATATAAGTGAAAAAGAAGAAAGAATGAATTTTCTGTTGGATGCTGGATAAACAACAAGGTCCTACTGTATAGCACAGAGAACTATATTCAATACCCTGTGATACTAACACACCACTGTAAAGCAATTATACTACAATAAAGATGTTAAAAAATATATACTGTGGGGCTTCCCTGGTGGCGCAGTGGTTGAGAGTCTGCCTGCCGATGCAGGGGACACGGGTTCGTGCCCCGGTCCGGGAAGATCCCACATGTCGCAGAGTTGCTAGGCCCATGAGCCATGGCCGCTAGGTTTGCGTGTCCAGAGCCTGTGCTCTGCAACGGGAGAGGCCACAACAGTGAGAGGCCCGCATACCGCAAAAAAAAAAAAAAAAAAAAAAAAAACGTATATATATATATACACACACACACACACTGTGATAAACCATAATGGAAAACAAAAAAGAATACATATATATATGTATAACTGAATCACTTTGCTGTACAGCAGAAATTAACACAACATTGTAAATCAACTATACCTCAATAAAATAATTAAAAACAAAATGTTGGTACTTATCTACACCCAGAGTTAGAAGTTTTTAGCTTCTAAAGGGGACGATAACTAGCCTATCTCTGAAATCTCTTTTCACAAGGCAGAGGAGTACCAGTCATCCCACAGAGAAAGGCCAAATTCTAAGCACAGTAGCTGGCATGTGAACCAATACGGTGTCCCCTTCCCTGCCCTAAAAGCACTGACACAGAGAAGTCATGGTACTCAGAAAAGAACCATAAAACAAACAAAATGAGTCAGAGCAAAGCCCCTTTAACTAGACAGAATGGTGTCTAGGGGAAGACTATAACACAATTAAATTTAACATACCAAAAGAAATAATGAGTGACTCTGAAGGGTAGTTGGCCAGTAGTTTATTTCACGAACAAATATTTATTGAGTGCCTGTCATGTGCCAGGGCTGGGGATGCAGGAGTCAACAAACAAAACAAAACAAAGGAACAGAAATGGTTCCTGAGCCTTACATTATGGTGGTGAGAGACAGATAATAAATTAATATGTAAAAAAATAATAAAAATTAATGAAGGGTAGGAGATAAGAAATGGGGGAGGGATGGCATTTATAAATATGGTTGGGGCAGGACTCACTGAGAAAGGGGCACTTGGACAAGGGCTTATAGGGGGTGAGGGAAGCATGCAGATATCAAGGGTAACATGATCCAGATAGACAGCACCCTGCAGCATCTATGGAACAGATAGGAGGTGAGTGAACCAGTGAGACAGGGGCAAAGAGTATAAGGGACCAAGTCATGCAAGTAGGGTGACCATATAATTCATTATTCAAACTGGGACACCTTTGAGAGTGAAAGAGGGGACTAAAAAATAATTAATATTACATTAATTTTTAAAATATGTATTTATGGACCAACAATTTTATTTTATTATATTGGTGAGCCAATAAACTAATTCTATTCAAAATAAAAATTTCTAGAATATTTTTAAATGACACACAGCTATGAACATGAAAGCAAAAAAATTTTAAACCTTTCATATTGATTATTGAAACATTTAAAAATAGCATAAGTAAATAATTATTCTTGAGATATAGATATATTTATATATACCTTAATTGGCTACTTAGCCATTGTTGCCTTTAACATTGTGATGTGAAAATTTTTCTGAAAAATGTCTTTCTCTTCAATATGATCTTATTTATTTTTATATTTTTTATACAATTGCAATTTCTACAAAGCTTCATTTTAGGGTTAGTATATTTGAAATTGTTGACACTGCTTCTCCATAGCCCATAACAGTTTCAACTGAGAAAATACTCTCTCCAGATGCTGATGAACCTATAAGTTCAGAGCAGATTCTGCTAAATGGAAGATACTCTGAATTCAATTTTTTTTTTTTTTTTTTTTTTTTTGCGGTACGCGGGCCTCTCACTGTTGTGGCCTCTCCCGTTGCGGAGCACAGGCTCCGGATGCGCAGGCTCAGCGGCCATGGCTCACGGGCCCAGCCACTCCGCGGCATGTGGGATCTTCCCGGACTGGTGCATGAACCCGTGTCCCCTTCATCGGCAGGCGGACTCTCAACCACTGTGCCACCAGGGAAGCCCTGAATTCTGTTTTTTATATTAAAATGTGTAATTATTTCAGCTCCAATATTTTCACATGTGCTGTATTTCTGCCTCCATTCGGCCCACCTTTCTTCAATAATATTTTTACAGGACAGAGCTCTTAAATTGTCTCTATTTGTGATGCCTTTTAACACTTCATCAAATGTAGATACTGCAAAATTACAGGCCTTTACAATTTCATCCCATTCTGGTGGGAATATAAATTTATCCAATTAAGATCAGGAGGTCCATCAAAGTCAAGATGTTTCCAAAGCACGATTTTCAAGTTAGGTAATTAAACCGTTTCAACTCTCATCTTTTGATTTGCTGAATTCCTCCCAGGCTTTTGTAGGGAGAAATCTGAGCTTCTTCCTTTTTGTAAGCTTTGTTTCACATAATTGCAACTTGCTAAAAACTTCAAAAGCTGACTTTTCATGCTACATTCATTGAATAATTTGATTAAATATTTCCAACTGATTTTGCACATAATGTGGCCTAAATTTAGGCTGCTTTACAAAGTGGTTTTTCAAAGGCTCAGGCTCACAGGCAATGAAGAGAGAAAATACATACAGCCATGCTAATATATTTTTACATTCAACAGGAGCTTCTGTCAGAAAAGTTTTGTAGATGAGCTATATATATACTCTGATTGTGTACAAACATACATACATATATAATTTGTAAATTTTAACAACTGCAGTTTCTATTTTGATTGGTGGAATACTAAAGCTTATTTGGATGCAGTCATGAATTTTGTGCATATCACAACCAATTCCAAGTACATATCTGCTCTGTAGGCTTTTAAGTATGTAAGAACATTGATTTTACCACTATGCTCTGCTCCACCAAAATCTGTATTAGTATTATCACCCCCCCAAAACAACATTTTATCTCCATTGTTGAACTTTTCAACTAAATCTACAATGGCATTAACAATCTCATTTTAGACAAAAGAATGAACTTCTAAATATTTTGCTTTGATTCGGATGTAAAAATCAAACCATTTTGAAATTAAATTTTCTAATTGAGGTCTCTAATTGATTTAATCTGGTATTATTTGATGGCTTGCAAAGGGAATCAATTAATTAATCATCACCAATTCACTTTACTTACAAGCACAGGAAAACTTGGAATTGAAAATGAGCAAAATTAATTTAGAAGAGTAATTCGATCCAAATGGAAAGGTGTGCTTTTCAATGACATGTGAACATACCTCCTGCAGCTTCACATATTGAATTATCATCTGCTGGCCCATTCTTCCTAAATTAGACATTAATTTTTGAAGTAGATCCTGATGCTTCTTCCCCATATTTGTGTCTTGTGGTTTTCAAATGGACAGTGATAATTCGATTCCCCCCACAGTGGATGGTAAATGTTAACAAATACTTAGATTACACATCCATTATCAACTTTATTTTATTTTATTATTTTTTTAATTTGGTTGCTCTGGGTCTTAGTTGCAGCAGATGGGCTCCTGAGTTGCAGCACACGAGCTCTTAGCTGCGGCATGCATGTGGGATCTAGTTCCCAGGGGTCGAAATACTTAGATTACACATCCATTATCAACTTTATTTTATTTTATTATTTTTTTAATTTGGTTGCTCTGGGTCTTAGTTGCAGCAGATGGGCTCCTGAGTTGCAGCACACGAGCTCTTAGCTGCGGCATGCATGTGGGATCTAGTTCCCTGACCAGGGGTCGAACCCAGGCCCCCTGCATTGGGAGTGCAGAGTCTAAACTACTGCACCACCAGGGAAGTCCCATCATCAAGTTTCTTGAGACAATTAAACGTGCAGTTTTGGTTTTGGTTTGAGCCAGATGCTGCTGAAAGCGTTTGTTGCAAAATTTAAAAGCATTACCAAATAATAAAACTAACAGTTATAGCTTTAATATACAATTAGTGACAAAACTGATTTAACAAGAACATTTAGATTATACTGTACTCTATGGCAAGAATGCTCAGCCTCTATTTCCTAGACACAACTTGTATGACCTTAAGTCACAATTTCCCATATTTCTTTCTGACCCTGAAGAGGCTCCCTGCATCTCACAGACCACCACATGGACCATAGCACAGCATGAGTGGTGCTATACCAAGTGGCCATCAGGGGAAAAAAAAAACCTCAAGGTTTTTCCTGCCACCACCTAAGACCAGAGGAGTTAGCTGCCCCTGACGGCTGTGCTTGAACTCTTAGCTTTAACAGCCAGCATCTTGCATATTATCCTTCAAAGGGAGCTGTCAGTTAGATTTTGTCTTATCAGGATCAGGAAATGAGAGACAAGTGGTCATTAGCTTTTAGATCCAGCTACAATAAAATAAGAACTCTGTTCACTGCACGTGTGTTTTATATGCTACTACATGAGACTGTGAGAGAAGCCAGAAGAACCAAATGGAGGTCTATTAATCCATGCTGGTTTACTGTAATGCAAATACTAATTTTAAAAATTTCACACACACAAAAAAAGGAAAATCTGAGGTAAAAGGTAAAGTCAGTAATAGGATGTCAAGAAAATAAGCATAAACCCAGGCTCTTCCAAGGGAACCAAGACGTAGGTCACCCCATAAAGTCAGTGTAAAGACTGGCTTTTATTCCAAATGAGATGAGAATTCATCTTGGGGTTCTGAGTAGAAGAATAAGATGATCTGATTTAAGTTTTACAGGATTATCCTGGCTGGCTTTTGGAGAATAAATTGCAGGGGGGCGGTCAGGATAGGGGATCAGTTAGGAATCTATGGCTATAATCTCACAGTGAGAACAAAGACAATAGCTCCTTAGTAGAGAGATAAATGTGTGTCCTTAAAACTGTATGTATGTAGCTGCAAGGAAGAACAGTTAAAAGGGAAACCTACCCATAGGCTCAAATTTCAAGTCTGCGCTACTAGTGATTTCCTTTAGTGTAAAGGATGAATCAGAATATCATAGTTGAGAAACACCAGATATGAAGAGCACCTACTAAACTCCTCTTACACTAATCCATTCTCATCAAGTAACCTTCTAATCATAAAGTAGATGCATGTAGACTTATCCATAGGAAGGGAATACATATATCAGCAAATACTAGTATCTGTTCTACTTGATAGTTTAAACTCTAACCAGAAATTAATAAATTGGATTTCTGGGGGTGTTTTATACATAATCTTTTATAAGTTTAGTTTGTTTGTGTTGGTTCCCTAGAGCTTCGTCATCTCTGGATATACGAATTGAATTTCCTAATATATTCAGCAGAAAATAAGAGCTGGAAAGTGGCGATCCTAAAAAATCCTGAGAAGATCTGGCTGAGCTGCTGCCTGGCCTTGCCCAGGTGACCTTTGGCCTTACTGAGTGCCAGTCCAGTCAAACTGCAACATGCATCTCTGATACCCAGATGGTGATATCAGAATATCCCAAGTGAATTAGGGAATACTCTGCCTGTTACCAGGCCCTCAGGAAAAAAAAAAAAAAGTTCTCAAAGGTTTATTCTTTTATGATGATTTTTCTCCATTCTCCTCTTCTTTCTGAAAACAACCACCTTTAAGTTATCATTGAGTAATTCTTTTCTCTTTCTTGGATATATGATTTTCTTTTTGCATCATTTTATGTAAGATACAATTAATTTTCATAAATGCACTCAAATATCTATATTCAAGGTACTCCAATAAATGAGAAGTTACCGGAAAGGGACTTGAGTCATCCGGAATGGAAGGGGCACTTGAGGTCTCAGCATGGTTACTCTTCTTTCTGGAACGCTGATCCAGGGCAGGAGAAGCTGTGTTGGAGTATTCATCACTCTCCTGGAGGGTGGAGTATTCCAGTTCCTCCAACAAGGCATCTGTATCAAAAGATACAAGGGAATCATGACATAGAATATGTACGTTTTCTGGAAAAATTATCCTCTTAAATATCCCCACTGTGCCTCCATTCATCTCCCTCTTCTCTTGGGTCTTAAGAGAGGCTAAATTCAAACATCCTCCCTTACTCCTTATTTGACTTCAAGAATATGGTCTATTCTACCAGGAGATGTTTCATGCCCTCTGCATACTATAGCCTGCTTCTTATTTCTTATGGTTGCATTCAATTTCATAGTCTTATTCTACAATTTGACTTTCTATATTGCAGCATATTCATTTTTATCATTTATTTAGAGTGGATCACCCATGAAGATCTCCAATTAGAAAAATGTAAATGCTACATATTTTTTCGCATCAGAAAAATATATGCAATTATATTACAGTTTTCCAAAACATACCTGTACAGTAAAACTTATTCTTAATCCTGATTTTTTTTCTTATATCCCCAGCACATAACAAAATTCTCAAAGCAAAGTATAAGTATTCTGTCATTTAAGGTGTGGGGAGAAAAAGGGATTGGAGGGGAAACAGATGTTGCAAAGTCAAGCAAGATGCTGCAATCCAAACAGCTGAGATTTGTTTCTCTTGCAGTTTTCTTGGGAAAAACCAATGGACTTTATTGTATGAGTATTACACTGTTACCTTTCTGTTTTGAGGAAATTAATGTTAATAATAAAATTAACACAGGACAGGCATTGTGCTCAGGAGTATATATACTTCTTATATATTTAGTTATATATTTAGTCATCCTAATGCTTTGAGGCAAGTGATAGCATTGTCCTTATTTTGTAGATTAAGAAAGAGACAAATACCTTGTTTAAGGCACACTGCTACTGAGTGCATAACCTGGCTGATCCTGGGCTATCTGATCCCTGGCCCCTGCAAGTCAGAAATTCCAGACCCCATTCCCATGTGGATTCTCTGGATCATCTTGGCATGACACTTTCTTTTCTGAAGCTGTTTCCTCATCTACATAATAAAGCAATTGTATCACAACAGTATTTTTTAAATTGCAGATCGAGACCCACTAGTAGATCTCCAGTGGATATCTTACCACAGATTGTAGTTTTTCAGCTTTGCAAAACACTGGATTATATTATTTCTAAGGATCTGCCTAGCTCTAAAGTCTTCAGATGAGGAAAATGAACTTTACAGGTCATTAAAAAAAGATTTTATTTCAGATATTCGGGGATGGGTATTTCTTAATGGCATAAGATCTAAACATTGCTTACAAATGAAACCCTCTACAGATCTTTCTCAAGAATCTAGCTCACAAATATAATGAATTTTATGCACCATTTTAGAGATAAGCAAACCGAGCTAAACTCTTCAGGGCAAATGATCCTTCAACAAATAAACTGTAATGGAAAAGAAGAGATAGAGGGGGAACCAATAGGTTAAAAGAGACATAAGAGACTTACAACTGATTTCAATGTATGATTCTTAAATAAACAAGCAAAAACCAAAGAAAGAAAGAAACAATTAGTGATACTGAACAGTGACTGAAAATTCAATAAGTAGTAAGTACTGTTAACTTATTTTAGTTGTGATAGGATATTTGATAATATTAAGTAATTTCTGTTAATATTTTGGGTGTGATAATGGTATTTCATGACATTAAGAAATTACTATTGGGCTTCCCTGGTGGCGCAGTGGTCGAGAGTCCGCCTGCCGATGCGGGGGATGCGGGTTCGTGTCCCGGTCAGGGAGGATGCCACACGCCGCGGAGCGGCTGGGCCCGTAAGCCATGGCCGCTGGGCCTGTGCGTCCGGAGCCTGTCCTCCACAACGGGAGAGGCCACAACAGTGAGAGGCCCGAGTACCAAAAAAAAAAAAAAAAAGAAATTACTATTAAGGATATTATGGATATGATAATGGTATTATGGTTATTTGTATAAATGTATATATATATATTTATGCTGAAATATTTACATATGAAATGATACAATGTGTGAAATCACTTTAAATAATCTAGGAATGGAAGGAATGGGTGGATGTATACATGAAATAAGATTAACCAAGAGTTGATAATTGTCTAAGGTGATTGATGGGTACATTAGATCTCTTTAACTATTTTCTTTCCTTCTGTAAATTTTAAAATTCTCTATAATAAAAGGTTTTTAAAAAGAAGAGGAAAGAAAAGAAAAAGTAAGGTAGAAATAGAAAGTAAAACTTTTTCTCTCAGGACTTTACTAGCCAAACTGAATGCCAAATCTCTGAGTTTCAAATTTTTATTCTATAGCCCTCTATTAAGATATAGCTTCTTTCTTTTCTATTTCCTAGGCTTTGCTCCAGCAGAAGTCATGGTTCCTCTTGGATTCAAAATAAAAAATTGGGGCTTCCCTGGTGGCGCAGCAGATAAGAATCTGCCTGGCAATGCAGGGGACATGGGTTCGATCCCTAGTCTGGGAAGATCCCTCATGCCGCGGAGCAACTAAGCCTGTACACCACAACTACTGAGCCTGCGTGCCTAGAGCCCACGCACCACAACTAAGAGTAGCCCCCTCTAGCCACAACCAGAGAAAGCCTGAGCACAGCAACGAAGACCCAACGCAGCCAAAAATAAATAAATCTTAAAAAAAAAAAAGGCATTTACAATAAAGATGAGGGGAGAGGGAAGACCCTCTGCAAGAGAAGCAAACCATACCACTAGGAGTACAAGGTTACCCTTAGAGGCACCAGCTAACCACAGTTACTAAAACTCCTTTCTGGGTCATGAGTTAACAGGCCTTTCTCTTCCGGTTTCCTATGAGTGTACATATCACCAACGCCCCGAGATTATCTCCCTTTTGGCCAGATGCTGTGATTTGAAGATGACTAATTTCAGCATGACAAATATGGGATTACTGGTGCAGGGTAGGGGGTATCAGACTGAACACACTGCAGTCCATTTTCATAGCGCCTCATCTGTGGAAATCAAACAGTGTCAACATTCACAGGAAGGGAAGTAAGTGAGGTGTCTTGAGGGTCTCACTAGACTGTAACGACTTCATTCAGAGCCAGAGTCTGCTCCCGCTTCCCCTTTATCTAGCATCCCCATGTAATGAGGGTTTAGGTAAGACTTTCTGGGTGGATATAAACTACTAACCTTGGGGGCAGTACTGCAGAGAGGAAATATTGGCCCGCCTGGGCTGACTTGTCCTCCATGCTATTTCTCCACATTGGAGAAGAAACACCCACCCTAAGTCTTTTGGGTAGTTATTGAGCTGATGACAATTTGAAGAAGCGATTGAGGTGTAGCTATTAACAGCCTAATGATGTTTAGCCACCTGGATAACATACATGAATGTTACCTTCCAGGCCACTTGGTACTTTCCACATTCCTGGACCAAATTTCTCTACCATTCAATCTGCTGAGGAAATGCAAAACTGCACAAATCTACTTTTTAAAAAAATATTAAATTATCTGGGTTGTTCTATTGTCTGGAACACCAGAGCCAACAAACTGCTAAAATGGGAGAACACCTTGTCACTTAATCGGTTTTGGTGTCAGATGCTCCTGTGAGTGACACTGAACAAGTTATTTTGTTTTTCTTAGTTTTCTCATTTGGATAAAACCTATCTCAGAAGGTTGCTTGGAACACTAAAATGATTAACATATGTACAAATGTAGCTTAAGTCACTGAATAAGCATTACTCCCCTTGCCGATTACCTACATTAAAGCCATGAGGTATCCCTAAAATAAAAAAGCAGAACTGGACTCTGGAGGAACTCGTACAGAAATGTGAACTTCCCCAACCTTCACACAGGATAAGAACTGGGAGTCTACCCCAAATCCAAAATATATTCTACCCCAACTATCAAAATAGACTTTATTTCCAAAACAGTTCAATATTTATTAAACATTAAATACCTTCTCCTTAACATCTCTTCCCTCCTGTAATTTGCCTTCCTTCCTTCCTCTACTCCTCCAGCTCTCAAAATACATTTTTTTTTTTTTTTTTGCAGTACGCGGACCTCTCACTGTTGTGGCCTCTCCCGTTGCGGACCAGAGGCTCCGGACGCGCAGGCTCAGCGGCCATGGCTCACAGGCCCAGCGGCTCTGCGGCACGTGGGATCCTCCCGGAGTGGGGCACGAACCTGTGTCCCCCGCATCGGCAGGCGGACTCTCAACCACTGCGCCACCAGGGAAGCCCTCAAAATACATTTTTTATAAAGACAACATGCAAGATGTTTTTTGTTGTTGTCATTGGCACTTTTGACATACCCCAAACATACAAAAACCCAGGACACCGTGTAATTATGCAGCGTGAACATTGGGTAAAGGTGACTCAGTTTTAGTAAGGATGACAGCAACAAAAGTTGGCAAAAGATATGGAATGAGTCCCAAGAATGACAGACCTTACATTACTCCAAAGGTTTGAAATCAGGGATCTCTCTGAGCAGTGTGGCCAATGGCTTCACTGCTGGTTTCAATTGCTTTGGAGTGGAAGGAGGTATCATATTTGCAGGCCATGGTAATCTGTTCCTTCAGAATTGCTCTCAATAAAAATCTTAGCAATGAAAGCACTGGAGTAATAGTGCTTTGTTTTATTTAATACTAAACCATGGAACAAATGAAACCGCTCTGGCCTTTCTCCAACCTTTGCGAATCCCTCATTCTTGTACTTCTATTCTGTTTCTTCTCAGAACACCCTTTAATCCCCCTCCTCTTTCTTTCTTTTTCACCCCAAATCACATCTCTGAACTTGCCAACTCTGTGACCACCCTATGATCTCCAGCAGCCCCCAAGAGGCAAAATGCTCATAATAAAATGACAATTTCAATCACAATTCAGCCCAAAAGTATTTGTGCAGCGTTTACTCTGTGGTTAGCACCAAATTCTCTGCCTATTGTGCCTCTGCAAACAGCAAACCCATAGTTCCCCAAAATAACATAGTTCCTCATGCTTCACTCTTGGTTGGCCTGAGGTCAGAAGTGAAAATAAAATCTTCCAACACTATCCTCCACCTGGCTAGAAGTATACCCCACCACACGTGGAGATGGCAGCCAAGTCTTCATTCCCTCAGAGTTTCTCCTCCAAGAAGCTCCTCACTCACCCAACTCTTCCATCGTCACACACCCAAGATGCTCTGGTACCACAGGTTGTGAGGAACGGTTTTGGCATGTGTTGAAGAACCACAGAGGAACTGAATGAGCCAGCGCGAAGCAGCCTCTACAACCCTTTTTGGTTCCTGTATTTTTGCTTAGCACTTCCTCTCTTTTGATTTGGTGAGTTTCTTTTTTTTTTTTTCTTTTCCTTTTTTGTAGGTCAGTTTTTAAAAATGAGCCTGACATAAAAGGTGAGTAATTGGATTTGAGTTCTGGCTGTGCATTGGCCAGGGTGATAAAGAATCGAAACTAGTTTTGAAAAATTTGAGAACCTACTATGTGCCTGGATTCATCTTGAATTCATGGGAATGGCAGATTTGCACTTGTGGTTTTGCCCAGTGTGGGTATCCTGCTGTAACTGTGCATGATGGAATCTGATTTTCTTTTCCCCTGAGGGACCACAGAAGCACAATCTCCTTCATAAAATTTCCATCAGAGTTAACTAGCACCCAATTCATTTTGCTTAATTATCCAGAAATTGTGCTTACCTGGTTTTCTGAATAGATCAACAACCCATTAAAGGCAGAAAAAAAAAAAAGAGATACAAATGAACTTATTTATAAAATAGAAGCAGACTCACAGACTTAGAGAACTGAATTTATGGTTACCAGAGGGGTAGTGGTGGGGAGGGATAGTTAGGGAGTGTGGGATGGACACACTGCTATATTTAAAATGGATAACCAACAAGGACCTACTGTACAGCACAGGGAACTCTGCTCAATATTCTGTAACAACCTAATTGGGAAAAGAATTTGAAAAAGAATAGATGCATGTATATGTATAACTGAATCACTTTGTTATATACCTGAAACTAATACAACATTGTTAATCAACTATACTCCAATAAAAAATAAAAAGATTTAAAAAAAAAAGGCAGAACAGGATTCTCAGGACCAGGTTCACATTTGGATTCTCAGGGCCAAGTTTATTTCAGTGGTTCAAAATGCAAACAACTATAGGGGTCATGAAGAATGAAACTGGAAGATTTAAGACACCAGGTTCTAAGCTGCAGACATTCTCGATTAAGCACAATTCCTGCCTAGTTATATTGTCTTAGTTTCTCTAAAAAGTGACACTGAGGTTAACTTTCACTTTTTTTTAACCACTGTAATTTTATTCACCTTGAATAAAATAAAAAAATTACAAAAGGCCTACTATGAGAAGGCAGTATATAAAGAACTAAAATTACGGTCCTGCGAAATAGATATTATCCCCATTTTTACCAGTGGTGAAATAGATACAAAGAATAGAAACTTGCTAAAGATAATATAATTAGTAGGTGGCTTTGTTACTTACTATAACAGATTTAACTTCAAAGCCTGTAATCTTTCCTCTACAACACAGTGGTCTTTTTAAGATTAATCTAAAAGAATCATTCATTCTCCATTCCATTGTGACTCTAAGACTTTAAAAATATTTTTTTAATGCAAAGGAGATCCCATCTCTGCATTACTTTGAGCAGCCATTGGATGTCAGTGCCATTCTAAAAGTCTGCTCACTGCAAACATAGGTTTGAAAAATTCCCATCCACACTATGCTAAACAGTTTTTACAACTGAAATGCCATTACCCGCATGAAAGTGCAACACTCAACAGAGAATACGAACATTTGCCCAATCTGAAGTGGTAACTGAGCCAAAATCCTGGAAGGAAAAATGCTCTTCAGCATTTGTCTTGCAGATATTGGACTCCATCTGCAGTTTAACTAAATGATTAATGTGAAATTTAGAACTGGATTCCGAGATCTTGTTTCCACTCACTTACGTTGGAGATTTTTAACCCCGGATGCTTTAGTTTCCAGGGGTAAGAACTGTTCCTGCAAATCGCTCCTCGATTATAATGGATGAAAGGAAAAAAGGAAGCAACGCAAAAAGCTCACAGCCATCACCAAATGCAACTTGGAGATAAGCAAACGGAAACTCCCCTTTGATGCGTTAGGGCAATTTAGTTTCACATGCTAGCCGAGAGAAAAGTAATTTCTGACAAAGCTGCTATTCTGACCATGCTTCCTGTGCAGCAGAAACATTTAAAAACCGCAGAAACAGATGGTTTCAGGGTGGGGAGTGTAAGGGAGGCCTTCAGTTTTCCGGGTAGGTCACGCTAACAACCCTTCACCTCCCTTCCTTCCAGCCCAGGGACCACAGCCAAGTTATGCAGCCGATACCAGTTCCATGGCCCCGACAACATCTACTAAAAAACCAATTCTACAATTATTTCTACAGACTTTTATTAAGTATCAAATGAGTGGTAGGAATTGTGCTAGCCCCTCTAGGATCCAACGGAACCAGATTAAATCCCTGACCTCCAGACGCTCACAGGTTAGTGGGTCAGACACAGAAGACGAATATTGCAGATATAAACGCTAAGCGGTCCCAGATGAGGTGCCACCTAACTAGACAAAGATGAGGGCTATTACGTGTCCACCCTACAAATGGTTCGCCAACACCAAGTACGAAACTACGGAAAACCCTGCCAGGCAAACCCCACCAGCCACTGGGCCCGCAATTGTGGTCAGATCTACGCAGGCGTTGAGGCCTAACCCGGAAACACTGCCTCCCCGGAAGAGTAAATTCGAAACGCGGAAAGAGTAAACTACCTTTCCCATCACGCATCAGTCAAACACTCCCAGCATCCTCTCCGCCTCTGGCTCCGTATCCTTTTTCCTAAGGCGTAGGATAAGTTGAACTTCATTTCCCAGGATGCCCCTGGGCAAGTTAACCATGCTCATGCGCCAAAAGGCGGGTCCTCCTTGCCCTCACGACCCCGCCTCTGTCCTACCGCCGCCATTTTTTCAGAGACTTTCATCCGGCAGCCGACGGGGCTTTTTTTCTTAAAGGAGAAGCGACAGCTCAAAAAAATTTCCCCCTTCTCCCCGCAAGACCTGGCGGCGCTGGGGACAGAAAGGCTACAGACAGGAAAGTGGGATCGGGGTGGGGGCAGAAGAACGCCGAGGCTACTTCCGAGGCTTAAGGAAGAAGGATAGAAAGAGCCCTTGTGGCATTAGCGGCTCCTTAGGGAGGCAGGTGCGCGCGCAGCCATTCCAGGGTGCGCGCGAGGCGGGGAAAGAGGTGCGTTTTTTTCCCACCAACCTCCTCGCGAGACCTGCCCCTCCCACTGCCCTTAGCGCGCATTGAGCTCCGGAGGTGGGGGAGAAAGGTCACTTTGGCATTGTCGCGAGACGCAGCCGTTTAACGGTGAGAACGGGTGCGCGGGGAAGAAAACCTCGCGCGCTCCCTTGGAGCCGTTTCCTGATTGGTTGAAGGGAGGGGTGGGGGAGGGAACCGGTACGCCGCTGCGTGAGAGACCTTGGGGGGCGGGGCGAAGAAGCCGTTCCTCCTCTCCGATTGGTCCGCTGCGCGTCTGTGGCGGGCGCGCGCGCGCCGCCTGCAGTAGAAGGCCTTGAGTGGCAGGGGGTGGGGGGGGCGCCCTCGGAGCCGGGCGGAGGGGAGGGGGGAAACGAGGAGCGCCGAGTGAGAGTGAGCCGGTCGCTCCGGGGGGCGGGGGGGAGCAGCGCCGCGGCCGCCGCCGCCTCCGCCTCCGCCGCCTGGGACTAGGGGGTGGGGGGCGGACGAGTCCCGATGCCGGGGGAGACGGAAGAGCCGAGACCCCCGGAGCAGCAGGACCAGGAAGGGGGAGAGGCGGCGGCGGCCAAGGCGGCTCCGGAGGAGCCCCAACAACAGCCCTCTGAAGCGGCGGCGGCGGCCCCTGGGGGGACCACTAGCAGCCGCGTGCTGAGGGGAGGTCGGGACCGGGGCCGGGCCGCTGCGGCCGCCGCCGCCGCTGTGTCCCGCCGGAGGAAGGCCGAGTATCCCCGCCGGCGGAGGAGCAGCCCCAGCGCCAGGCCTCCCGACGCCCCAGGGCAGCAGTCCCAGGCCGCGAAGCCCCCGTCTCCAGCTCAGGGCAAGAAGAGTCCGCGACTCCTGTGAGTAACGCAGTCTTTCAGGCGGTGGGAAAGACCCCCCTCTACCCGCACGCAACCCTCTGGGCTCCCGTAGCGATCACTCCACGTGACATCCTACTTGCTCTGCCCCCTGCCGGCTCGCATGGCAGATGTCACGCCGCTTCCCTAGCCGTCTTATCGCTTCTCTCTGGCTTCCTCCGCCCCCCTTGCCTGTCTGTCCGGCCACTTCCCCACTCCCTGAAGGCGTCCTTTGTAGGATACACTTCTGCTCGTTAGTGACCCACCTCTTCCCTGCCGCCTTAGGGTTCTCCCGCACTCTGGCATCTGCGCTCCCTTTGTCAGCCTATCCCTTTCCCGCTTAGGGCGGCTCTCCAGTATTACATCACATCCCCATTAGATCTTAGCCTTCAAAATTGTGTCGTTCCCCTCACCACCCCCCAGTCCCATTAATTAGCTCAAGAGCCAGGTGTACTAGTATCGTTATGTAGCTTTTTTCACTCTACTGAATTTTCACATCACTTTTCACTCGTTTTAAAAACCTGGGACTTAGTAGTCGGGTAAAACGTGGCTTGCCAATTTTAAGTGTAGAGTCTTTCATGTAACAAGATGAGATGGGTTTTCTTTCATTTTTTTGACAAGTAGCTTATGTGTTTGTTTTTGCATATGTTTTAATGTAGGAACTTCGTCCTTAAAAATTAGAATAATCTGAAAGTAATTTCTTTATTACCTAGAGATCATAGAGAAACTAAGATGACCAGAATTATAAATATTTTAAATTGTTTATTAAAATGTTTCTATGCTGAAAATACTGAAGCACACGTGTTTGTAACTTCTAGAAATTAATCACATTAGCCATTGAATTCGTTACTGAAGGCATTTGTGTCTTTTGACTTTCAAGTGAAAAAAATTAGTAAAAGCAGGGAAAGTTGAAGGTGGTGGTGGGGAATCAGTCTTAAATGCCCCCCCACCTCCACCACCACCCTACCTCCGCAGCAGAAAGCATGGCAATATTTTGCTTGTACAGACCCGATAGATTTAGAACACTCCTGTTATGAAATTAAGAGTGACGTCTGTGACCTTGGCATGCTTGTCTTAGAAGACTCTCAGAAAGAGAAAATTCAAAGGTATATTGTGTATTATATGTGCTTTCAAATTATTAAATGTTATTTAAATTAACATAATTTAGAGAATTGTGTAAACTAAATTTCTGTGGATAACAAAAATATGTGCTTACAAATGGTTCAGCTGCAATTAGGATTTTAATTGCTGTAAATTAATTTCATGGTCACAGAAAATTTAAGCTTCTGTATTCTCATAAATTTGAAGAGATATATCATTAGCCTTATTTGGATATAAATTCCTTGGACAAATTAAACTGCTCGTGCCTCAACTTTATTATCTATAGGAGATAATGTTCATCTCTATGAGCTGCGTTTGTGAGACTTAAGTACACCCTGTGAAACACTTAACACAAAGCATGATATGTAGGAAATATTTACTAAAAGTTACTGTTTTGAGCAGTGATGTCTTTGGTAGAGGTAAAACTAGTGTGTAGTGGTCTTTTTCATGTAAATTCTGTGAAATTGGATTTTTAATTCTTTTTCTGTTACCATACACAGGAAGGTTAATAACTTAATATATTTTTTTAAATTCCCTTCTATCTTTATCTACCTATACCTATATCTCCTTGCCATGTTTCTCTCCTACTGATCCACCAGTTTTACTTATAGAAATGATCTCTTAAGATTATACATAGAGTGGTAGTTTTACCGGCTGTCATGGTTTATTACGTTCCCTAACTCTTGGCAAAAAAGTACTAATGAGTCTTTTTTTATTTCCACATTATAAATGTTACTGTAGTTGAACTTGGATGAAGATGACTTAATTAAACCCCTTCAGTTTTTTTCTTCACAATATTCCTTGTGGGGAGGGAAGAATAGTCAATTCTTAAAGTCCCTTTCTCTCTCATCCAATATCATAAAAGATAGTAGTGTTCTTTTACCTTCACTTAGCCTCAGAACTCTCTCTTAATTATATATATGTGTGTGTATATATATATATATATATATAATATATTAAATTACCCAGTTTTGATTGGATTGTTACAATACATTTTCATTGTAATAATTTTTTTGTTACACATTTTCAGTTTACTGCATGCCCTGGAAATCAAAGAACTAAAGCATTTCAGCTCCAACCTTGATTGAGCAGTAACTGGTCCTGGTACTGTGTTGACCCAGGGTTTATAAAGGAAAATGAGACATGGACTTTATCCTTAAGGACTTTGCAGTAAAGGAGGAAGATGCATTGATTAGTGGAGGTTTGTCAAATGTGTACATGGTTTACAGGTTTTCAGAATGATAAAATAAATTTTGAAACTAATTAAGTGAGAAACAGTCCTTTAAGACATTTCAGTTTACTGAACCTTGGTCTAGTGCCGTCTCACCTTGATTCAGCCCTACTTTCCAAATAACATTTCCCCCAATAAATTCCCAGTAATCAGCTGTTTACTGATTACTGAGTATCAATTTACTGAACCCTGGTCAAGTGCCTTCTCACCTTGATTCAGCTCTACTTTCCAAATAACATTTCCCCCAATAAATTCCCAGTCATCAGCTTTGTTAAACCTACATTTGTTTCTCTTGATAGAAGAGACATCAAAGTGTACAGTAGCTTAATAATGTCAGTAAATACAGAGACTTGGATTGATTGTAACCTCTTTTCCTCTTACAAGGCAAAATAACAGAGAAAAAAACATTGCTTTCTACTGCTTACTAAGTGACCTTGGGCAAGTCACTTAATCTCCTTAAGTATGCTTCTTCATCTTTAGTTGATAATTTATGATTTGTGAAATGAGCTTTATAGTTAGATGACAATTATCATTTTTAGAAACTTTCCTAAGCTTATAACAACTTTTCTATTTGCATTGAAATGTTCAGAAATTAATGAAAAGAGTAGGAACTCTGTGAAGGGAAATAAAGAATTTTTCAGTGAATGTGCTCAAGAAAAAGGCATGAAGTTAAATCTAAAATCATTATAAACTAAAACTTAAAGGCTAATATTAAGGAAAGAAAAACCAAATTTTGAAGAAAGATTATATATCAGTACTAAGAACTAGGCTTTTCATTTGCTGTATTTTAGCTAATAAACTCTGGAGTTAAGATTCTTATGTTTCAAATACAGATGTTTATATACTCATCTAACTTAAAATTGTATATGTGTGTGTGTGTGTGTGTGTATACACACACACACACACACACTCCAGCTTATTTCTGATTCATAAGTTAAAACATTTTTGCTTTCTGCTAATATGGAAACAATATATTGTTAAAGTAAGACTACTTTAAATGTAAAAGGCATATTTTCTTTCTCCCATGTGATAATAAGTCCTTTAGTTATCTGATGCATTTCAGAATTTAACACTTAAATACTTTTTTTTTTTTTAATTTCTCATTTAGCTGTTGAGGAAAGGTGTTCTTTCCTCACCACAGGGAATATAGGCTAAAACTGAATATTACTAGAGGTAAACCTATAGGCTCAGATGGGTTACAAATGAAGGAAACAAATACTGCTCTGTTTTCTGGTATATGGAGTTCCATTTTGGGTTTATTTTCTTGCTGAAAGTAAAATGGTAGTAAACCTTAGCATGATACCTTCTTGCTGCTTTTGTAAGGAAAAGGCAATGATCATAATAGAATGAAGAGGCAGTAATAGTCTGAATTGGAAAAACTTTTCTGACTCTTTGGAGAAGGCTTCAATTGTATTTAAGCCTGAAATCCTGAGTTTTCCTGTTAACAGTGATCAGTGTGGTAAAAGAAACATTGAACCATTCCAGAAGGTTTTCAGAAAGTTAATTGTACAGTGTTTCAAGATCTAACAATTGTTTCTGTACTTTTCATTTAGAGTTAACATGATTAGCAGTATTCTTGTGTTAGTTGTTAATTGGGACATTAATAACATAATTTAAAGTTATTATACCAAGCTTTTTTTAAAAAAATGGGATGAGAAAATGATATCTAGTCTTTCTAAAGAGAACAGAATATTTATATTATGCTATGGCTTCTGTATTTGCTTAGATATTCTTTTGTAACATAAGAGTCTTCATTTGTGTTAGGTTTGCTTTCAGAGAAAAAGAGAAAACTACTGCTCAGAGATACTGTGTGGCATCTTTATGGTAAAGATCCAAGACATGTCAGCTTTGAATGTGGGTAATGGCTATGAGGGGATTCATTATACCGTACTCGACAGTTATGTGTGATAGAAAATTTCCTGAATTAAAAACATGGGGATGACATTTTTTTTAGCCAGATTTTATTACACATTAGCCTCTGTACTGTTCCTCTCCAATTTGTAAAGTGCAAGTTACATTTATTTCTGAGGTCCAATATGTTGCCTTTTTAGAAATAGATTTTGACTTGGGTTTAACAAATGAATAATTTTACGGTTTTCTTTTAGGTTCATTAAATTTTTATTATGAAAATTGTCAAATAAACACAAAGTAGAGAAATAGTATAATGAAACCCCAGTATTTATCACCTAAATTTAACAATTGAGATTTTGCCATGCTTGCTACCTTTATCCCCCTTCCCCCTCGTTTTCTTTCGGTAGAAGTGTTTTAGAGGAAATCTCAAACATTATTTCATTTCACCCCAAGTTACTGCATTTGTGTAGAATAAGGACATTTTTCTCTTATGACCATTTAATACAACAAAATTAGCAATATTTTCTTTGTATTAATATCTTTTTACAGTTAAAAACAACTTTTGAATGATACTCTAGCTGTGTGCTGTGAAATATGATAGCTACTTGTGGCTATTTAAATTTACGTTAATTAGAACTGAAAATTCAGTTCCTCAGTTACATAGCTGTTTTAGGCACTCAGTAGCCACATGGCAACTACCGTATTGGACAGTGCAGATGTAGAATATTTTCATCACTCCAGAAAGTTCTGTTGGACAGTACTACTGTAGATGTTTTCTGCATCACTCTGGAGATGAACCTGAAAGAGGTAAATATTTGTGTTTTAAGAAAGTGTGCAAGATTATTCATTTAATATTTGATTCTCTTTTCTTTCAGATGCACAGAAAAAGTATCATCTGACAAAGGTAAGACTGAGTCATTCTTACCTCATGTACATTATATGACTGCTGTATAATCTGATAGAAATTAGAATGAGCTTCAGCCTAATAATTCAAATTGTTCCTATTTAAAAGTGACTTTTATTTAGTAAAGAATTACTGGAGTAGATAGAACCTATTTAAATGAATAGCAGGTTTGGGCAAGTGGAACATTTTGGCATTATTTAGAAACCTAATGCTGGGAAATCAGATTATTTGATGTCACTTTATTGCAATTTTTAAAACTATTTGGTTTTTCAGTAAAGTAACAGAGGAATGATACAGACAGAGCATATATCGACAGAGTATATATAGACTGTATATATACAGAGTATAGAGAGTAAAGTATAGACAAACTTTTGATGCTTATAGAGACTCATGTTATAAATGCAGTTTGAAGAATGTGGAGAGAAGAGTTTTCTAAGATTTTAGCCTGGTGAATAATTAAATCGGGTCATTAGGTCTTTCAGATAGCAAACCAAATACATGTATTAAATGTACTCTTCTGCTTATCTGGATTATGAAGGGAAGCTGATGTTCACTTTATCCTTTTAAATGCTTTTTTAAAAAGACTATTCTGGCTTTGCAGATTGGGTTATTAAAATTGCCCCTGTCATGTTGGGCCAGTTGCTTATTTATTAAATTTTTTTTCCCTAGTTATTGGCTGTGTTCCTTGATGCTGCATTCAGATACATACACAGCATCCTTCTTAAAACTGGAAAAAGATACTTTTAAGCATATTTCATTTACAGTGTCTGGTCTTGGTCCAGTCCTAAAGGATTGATCAGTTAATTCATTATGTGTATATATAACATAAATACTTATTATTCTTACTGTAGACTTTTCTCTTACAAAGAATGCTTTGCAAATATGTATAAGACAAGTGTAAAACCTGAATTTATGCCATTGAGAAGAATGACAGTGTGGTTAGGAATCAGTAACTTGAATTGGTGGCTGCTTTGTAAATAATTAGACGTCAGTGGCCAGGTTTCTTTTTTCTCTGAATTTTAGAATCTAAGGCTAATATTTCATAGTATACCAGGCGTAAGTATTTTGTACTAGGCAAGTTTTTTGTGTAGAAAGTTTTGCATGACTATTTTGTTTAGCAAGTTTTGGATTTTGTTGCTGTTGATACTTAGAAATTAGAATATGTCTGCCAAGAATGGAAAGTCTTGTGTTCCTTACTCAGAGATCATTTTAGAAATTTTAGGATGAGGGGGAAATGTAGAGACAGGTGGCAGTCAAGTACCAGAGCAGTTTCTATTAAGACAAAAAGCAAAAACCGCAACCTGCCTTTATCAGAGCTAAAAGTACTTCCTGTGTCTAAAGACTACGTCTAAAGAAATTATTTTGGGTTATCTTGAGGTGAGGTCACAGAATGCGGTGGAAATTTTGAACCCTGCTGGAGATAAATTAATCACTGTTTGTGTCAGTTTCTTAAACCAGAGGTTGGCATGTTATGTACAGTTTTGCAGTTGAGGAGAGATTAAAACTGCATTGTGGTTAATTCAGTCTCAATCAATCCCACTTTAATCCACTAGTTAAATACTCTGGATCTAGAGTTAGAGCTCAGGGTTTGAATTCAAGTTCTTCCTTTTATTGCAAATAATCCAATACACTGAATCCAGTAAGGACTCAATAAAAGGTAGCTGTTGTTAAGTTTGTAGAATTTCCAAGAAATACTCTCCAACCCCCATCTCAGTCTCTGCATTAGTTTACTTGTACAGTAGCTGTTCAACTCTATGAATAGTATATATAGGTATGTAAGTATATCTTATCTTATACAACTAGATCAGTGAATAAAGAAATGGAGGTTGATTTTCTAAAGGTACAGCTATCTTTTTGTTTTCTTAACATTGAAAAGATGTTTTCAGGATTGTTTTTACTCTTATTTACTCCAAACAACTGGAAATTATGTGCTGCCCTTCAACTAAAGATAAGTACTTTGGACATGTTAGAATAAATGACTTGGCACACACAAAAAAACAGCTTGCTGTTGTTTCTAAATTATTAAATTGCAAAGTGCCATGTTCATTTTTCAAGCTGAAATAATAGTAAAGAAACATATTAGTGTAGGTCCCTGTTCCTACTACATTTCTTTAACCCTGATGGGTATATGTAAAAGAATGGAAAGTTGCTTTGCGAATAGTGTTTATTAATTCATTCAACAAGTGATCGCTTAAAACATGAAAGCTTGGTTTACCACTGCCAGAGATTATCACCATCATTGTGGAGCTTCCAAGAATGTTAGCAGAAATTCTGAGGGATGGGACCTGGCTAATGCCTTTTTAACCTGGCTTTATGTTTTCATTCTGGTCTTTGTTTTGAACCAATGTTATACTTAAGGTAATGAAGTAAAGGAATGGTTTGGCTAAATGTAATTATTAATAATCCCAGTATTACTTTATCTGCTAATTTTCATTTCTTTCACTTTTCAAACCTCCAACCAGAACTGCCCAAGATAAATCGTAAAAAAGGAGACAGTAGTATCTTAATCTTTATTAAATGTTTCAAGAGTTTCATGGGATAATAACAAATATTACAGAGTCAAAAAAATGTGGGCAGTGTTTGAGTCATCAAAGTTATTTATTGCAGGACTATAGTACATTGCGGGTACTATGCAATGTAAATACCAAAATATGCAGCAATTACCTATAAGACACCCCCTCCTTTTTTTTTTTTTCCTCCCTTTAAAGAATAGCTCATGAAATTAGAGCTTATGGGAAACAGTTTGGAATCCTGGGTGCTTGAAAATCTGATTGTATAAAAGTTTGGGTCTCATCTTTTATTCAGAATCATTTTACTGTTTTTAATTATTCTTCCTGTTACGGAGTAGTGATGTTTGGAAAAGATTGCCTACACAGAATCACCAAATGAGTTCATAACAGATATATGAATTTACTTAGATTGTTTAAAGTTTTGACTATTTGCCTTATCTAGTTAATTACTTTCATAGCTTTAATTTCATCAGAGTGTTTCTGTTTTCCTGAGTTGGAATACCTTTAATTATTTCTTATCCTCTCATTTCCAGTATTTTTAAACAATATTTGTGTCATCCTTTAATATATAGAACAAGAATTCCCACCTTTTTTTCCCACTCTAATGAGAAAAATCTAACTTAATTTTTACCATTTGAGTTTCTGTGCAAAGGATGTACAGAACATTGTCTTCACAATTCTTTCTTGAAACATTAAAAGGACTCGCTTTCCCTGACTTCTTTTAATGTTGCTGAGATTGGCTAATATTTCAAAATGGGCTTTACTAATTACTTATGGAAAACAAAGTAGAGATAATTATCGAAATACACAGAGTAGTACGATCAGGTTTCCGAAACTCAAGTTCTGACTATTATAATGCTTACGTCTCAAGAGGCTGACAGTACTTTAGATAGGCATTTTATCTATCCTATTTCTTTCCTAGCCCTTTATCTTAAGGTAACAGGAACCATATTATTTCTCTCAATATGAGAATGATCAGCTCAACATCTTCTTCCATGTTGGCAATGCCCCATAACCTTTAAACCATTTTTCTAATTCAAACATCCAGACCTCCTGTGGTTCTTCCTGAAGTGCAGACATACCTCATTTATGGTTAGTGTGGATTGTGACATAGGCTTAGAAAGCCTTGATTATCAGCTCCTCTCAGTTATGGGATGTTTCATCACTCAGGTAAATGAGTCTTTCTGCCCCTTACATACAAAAAAATAACTTTATAACGATTTGCTGATTATGATTCAGCATATGCGAACCATCTCAACACAGTTTATTCTGTTATGTATAATAGTGATTTTATATTGAGATTCCTTTCCCTGCCAGAACCAATTGAGAGTTGCAACAGAATGCCCTGGTAGAAGAAAACTGAAGCAGAAGAAGCCCAAGGTCCTGAGTGGGCAAGTCTACACTCAGCATATAAGAATCTGAAACCCCTGAAGAGACACCCGTCTCTACATGCAAGCATAACATTATCCTCACATTGAGATCATGGGTGGATGAGAACCTCTGACGAAAAGAAATTCTCTGATTTAATGACCCCTGGCCTTTTAAGTCCAAGAAGGATCAAGCTCCTCTGAATTAAAACTAGCCAGGTTGATCTAACTACATCCAGGCAAATACCCCTTTAGCTTCAGGGCAGTTAATTCCCTTAGAGGTAACAGGTTGTCTTTTGCCTGCCTGCTTCTTTGCGTGTGGCTTACTTCTTTGATCCTGAACTCCCAACTTACATCCTACCTTCTTATTGACTGATTCTGTAACTTTACCTCTTTGAAAATTTCTAAACCCCATTTTCTTTACTGTGACTCTCTAAACCCTTATGCGTTGTTGTATAACAAACCATTCAAAAACTTAGTGGTTTAAGATAGAAAAAGTTGTTATTTCTCAGTTGTCCCTCTCCTCAGTGGCCTTTCAGGTCAGACATTTTCATGTCATGGTAGCCTCAGGTCAATGGTCCAAAAGCTGCAAGGCCTCTTGAAGTCACCCCACAGGATATAAGATCAACATACAAAAATGAATTGTATTTCTGTGTATTAGCAACAAAACATTGAAATTATAAAATTTTTAAAATATCTTTTACAATAGTCTCAAAAATACGAAACAGGGATAAATCTGATAAAAGATGTGAAGTATACCTATATACTGAAAAGTATAAAACATTGCTGAGTGAAATTAAAAACCTAAATAAATGGAGTGATGTGCCTTGTTCATGAATTTGAAGATTCAGTATTGTTAAGATGTTATTTCTCCTCATATCGATCTATAAATGCAGTATAACCCAAGTCAAAATCCCAACAGGTTTGGGCTTCCCTGGTGGCGCAGTGATTGGGGGTCCGCCTGCCGATGCAGGGGACGCGGGTTCGTGCCCTAGTCCGGGAGGGTCCCGCATGCCGCGGAGCGGCTGGGCCTGTGAGCCATGGCCGACGAGCCTGCGCGTCTGGAGCACAGAGGCCACGGAAGTGAGAGGCCCACGTACCGCCAAAAACAAAAACAAAACAA